CCTGAATCCCTCCCAAAGCCTCCTTGTCTCTCCAGAAAGACCACGAACCCACCTGTGCCTAGGTAGAAACCGTGCTACTGGTTGGGAATAGCTTTCACAGGAGCCTTCCCCTCTCAGCTCCATGTCCAGGAGCAGCTTTTGCTGCCGCCTTCTCCTATTGCCATCAGATGGTGCCATTGAGTCTTCCTAGGAGGAGAAGCCCCGAGGACAGCAGGCTGGCACCAGGGAAGACGCGGGCGTCTTGCTCCATCTCCCAGGCAGGGAATAGAGGTTTACTGCCCAATTCCAAATATGGCAAAATAAAGAGATTATTTTTTTTTTTAGCATAGGTGTTGGCAAAATAAAGCAAATGTGGGGTTTCTGCTGTTCCTAATACATTAACAAGCATCTGTGACACGGCTTTTTCCATTTTTTTGCACGTCTGGCAAGACTGGCTATCTTCTTGCAGCTGGACTCTGGTGGTATCATTGCAGGAGCAGTATAGGAGCACTTCAGCTTCCATTTCCACCCCAGAAAAGGTGTGTTCACTGCTGGAAAGATTTAGGGAAGATGAACTTCTCATGCAGCAGGGCCAGAAATGAAAGAGAGCAAGAGCATTAGCAAAAGCTCCCGTTCTCTCCATGACAGCAATGTGGGACACAGAACTTGCCCTCCTCAGACAGTCCTAGACAGCAGGCAGCAGGCTGCCGGTGCTTTGGGGTGACTGTCTCCCTTTCACCTCTCCCTGCACGTTCTCTCCCTTTTTTTGAGTACAGAGTGCACTATAAGAGGCTTGTGCATCAAGGCACGCCAATTGCAATGTGCTCATCACATCTGACATCTCCCCTCCAGATGTGGGGACAGGGCTTTGGTATTAATAATTCTCTTTGTGTTTTTTTTGCAATGACCAGGGCCTGGCACAGCCAGCTCTGCTGTCCTGCTGAGGCCTCTACCTGGCATTCCAAGTACGCAGGAATAATAACTGATAAGTGTTTTTTCTGGGGTTTTTTTTGGTTTTAATTGTGCAACATGAAAGAGGAGAAAAATGCTAACAACGTGGGGAAGGAGAGAAGAAATAATTACAATTGCATTTAGTCAGTGATAAGAATGGCTGCTGAGCTGGGCTGGGTGGTTTCCAAGCTTCAATTTCACAGCATAATATTTCCTGCACCCTTAAAATAACTTCTCCCTGCCCCCAGGGTGTCACAGGGGCCGGAGAGCAATGTGTGCCCCTTGCCTGTGCAGCCCCATGCTGCTCAGTGCTCAGTTATCAGCCGGGGGCTGTACTGAGAGCAGTCTCATCATATGTGTCATGCCAAGGCGCTGAGTCCCAGCGCAGAGGGCTGGAGCAGAAAGGAGGAGATGCTTTGCAGACCCAGACCTGTGGTCTCCCTGGGAAGGCAGCAGGGAGGGGAATGCTGGCTGTCTGAGCTCTCTTTGGTGCCCGGTGAAGAGCAGCTTTCCTGAACCACTCGGCAGAGATGGGACCTCTTTATTGTCAGGGCTGATTGCTCATATGAGATGTATTTACAGAAGCGACTGTTTGTGCAGAGCGCAGCAGACAAACAGACTCCTGTTCTGCCAGGCACGCTTTGTAATCGGTGGGGGCTGGGAACACTTTAATGCAGCCATCGGAGGCCTCATTTGTACCGCAGGCCCCAGCACGGCGCCTGTGGGGTGCTGAGCCCCGGTCCTGCTCCCCGACCCCAGCAGGAGTGGAGGCGCAGAGCGGCACCGCTCGCTCTCACCCACGTTCCGTGAGGCGGGCGAGGGCACACAGCTCACTCTGAGCTGGGCGCGCAGCACCCGCACAGCAAACCCTTGGGTGTGATCCTGGCACTTGAGTCCCACCGTCATCCCACGGCTGGCAAATCCAGGGCTGTTTCCCTTTGGGGCACGTGGCTGAGGGGGGCAAACTCTGCCCTGGGCGAGATGCGCCCCAAGCAGGTGCAGACGGGCTGCCCATCTCCTTGCTCTGCTGGAGACATGATGCAGACTCTGAGGTCACTTCAGAGGTTACATGGTGAACTGCTTTACATGCAGTTGTACCAGAGAGACATGCCAGAAAGTTGGTCTTTGACTTTACAAATAACACCAAGGACTGGTTAAAAGCATCCAGGACTCTGAAAAACAGACTTACAGGCTCTTTGCTGTCTGCTGTTTTTTTTTCGAGGTGGAGGCCTAGGGGGAGTTTTGCCATCTGGGAGAGAGATGCAGCACTAGGAAAATAACGCAGTTTCCGGCACTGTCTCCATCTTCCTGCAAAACCAGCAGGGATGGGCAAGCCCCAGCTTCCAGTTAACGTGCAACACCTTTTGCTTGCAGGTAGCCTATAACACAACCACACCAAGTGGACATCCCTCTCCAAATTTAAAAAATAACATGTCCTGTTTCTCAGCCTGTGCCCTTTTCTCCACCCTGAGACAGGCACTAGGTTCAGATATGCTTGGGGAAGAGCTTATCAGTAAGGAAGAGCAGCACCAACTGCAACAGAGCTGGTGTGTGTCTACTTGCCAAAGGGCCGTTCAAATTGGCTGGTGCTGGTCAGGCAAAAGGAGAGCTTTGGTTTGGTTACAGCCTGTCCAAAACGACATGGTATCACCAGTGCTGGGACAAAAGGAAACCCACCCTCGTCCAGCTTACAGAGCTCTCTGACACATGCAGGTCAGCCCAGGCCACCCATGGGTGGCTATCAGTGTTTCCTAAGATTCCCAGCTGAAGCTGTAACTCTCTCTCTCTCTCAATTCAATTCACTTCAGCGTAATTTTTTTATTCTCCATTTGGAAGAACAGAGAAATTCACCTAATTGTGAGCACGCCTAAGCAATGCAGGTTTCTGAGCGTTCACACATTGTCTGTCACAAGACTTCTGATGCAGAGTGAAGTGTTTCTTTCATTTTCCAGATGTGGAAGCTGAAGCATGAGGCGGGCATTGCTCAGTAATACCTAATTAGTGAGGGAAAAAATAAAACCTAGTCACCACCAGTCTCGTGCTTCAACATCTACTCATAAGTTGTTGTTTAAAAGAGGAAATGCCGAATACTGCTATTCTTCTGTGACTGGGAGAGAGACTGAACTTTGTTCAGCATCCCTGGAAATGCAGACCCCCAAGGACAGATTTTTCAGACCTCTTCCCTGAAGCTTCAGCCCTCTCTCAGACATCAGAATACAAGCCATATTTCTCAGCTAGTTCAGGACCCAAAATACCATTGTTTTTTTCCAATCTGGTCCTTGGCAGGATTGATTGTCTTGTTGCAAGACTATTATCTAAAACATCTTACTATTATGGGTAGCAATCAATATTTATAACCACTCACAGTGTTTATTTATAAAGAAAAATAATCAAATGTTCCAACCAAGAAAAGATGCTGTTATTAATATCCAGCATGATTAATAATCACATTTGGAGTCACAGGCAGGCCCACGCTGTCAGACTCATGCACTTTGCTTTTTCTAATGGCTCTGCAGGAATTTGAACTGTAATATGTTTCATGCACAGGGACAAAGACGTTTTGTCTCAGGGAAGGAGTATGTGGATGTTTTTGACTTAAAGAGCCAGTGCTGCATTCAGAGCTTCACAAACACACCATTTTGATCCCAAGCCCATCGGTCTGCCATATCTTATCAGTGAGTGTGTATCTCCTCCTGTTGCTGAAGGCCCAGAGCAGCGGATTTGAAGCTTGTTGAGAAACGTTATACCCCCTCTGTGTCAGGGCAGCCATCACCTGCTCTGCTTCCCTACATTCCCCCTGAAAATACCTGAGCCAGGCAAACGGGTTCACACTTCTCTGCCTGCTGAAACTTCTCAGCTGCCCAGGGTAAGATGAGCTCCATGGGAATGATCTTGCCTCAAAACAAGAGAAGGAAAACCCTTACAGCCCTGAGCATTGCTCGCTTTCCACCTTCACCTGTTCCTTCAGCACTACCACAGCCACTTAGGGAGAGAAGAGGGAACATGAAAAGCAGTTGTCACGGTATGAGATACGAGGCCTCTCGGCCCCACACCAAATATTAGGGTGGTGCGGGAGGGACAGGTGTTTCTGATGCAATAAGCCAGTAAGGGAGCAAAGTTCACTCCCACTCCCTAGTGCTCAGCCGTGCAAGGTGATGTTTGCCCACCTGTGCGTTGCACTTTTCCTGCTGCAGGAGGTAACAGCAATAAAATCAGAGGCAGTAAAGGGACAGAGCTGCAGAGATACTGGTGCCTTAATTACTTCCTCATAGCCACTTGTCCTCTGCAGCACCGCTTTATTACCAGACAGGCAAAGCAAGCCGACTGAAAAACCAATACAAAAATGAGTTGTATACAACAGACGTTGTCTGCGCTGCTATCAAACATCCTGTTTTGCACAAATCTGGTCATGAGAGCTGTGGGAGGGAAAAATAAGGAAGGAAACCTTCAGGCTTGCTATTCCAAGGCAGCTCCCAGCCAGTGCTGAGCCAGTCTCAGGACTGCAGCGTCTCTCTGTTCAGCAGTTGGGTCCATGCTGTTTTGCACCTTGACTGCTATACTGAGCTCTGCAGAGCCTTACATGACTGCCAGATCCTCATGTGATCTGCCCCAACTCCTGTGGTCTGGTCTGCATGGGCTGACCTCCAGCATCCCATCATTGCCCAAAAAGCTCTGGTGCTGTTGAGGAACACCTGGGAACAAAGCTACCCTGTGCCTGCAAGCCAGGAGGAGCAGGGCATGCACTTTGTCCGGGTCCTCATGTGCCAGCCAGGCCAGGGGATACTGGGTGCAGGACAAGGAGAGGAGTGAGAGAACCCAGTATTTCTTGCCATGCGCCACAGGCCAAAAGCCTTACAGTTCAGATTCTGCAAGTCTACAGGGTGCACCACAGACTTTCTGCCCAGACTGTCTGGCAATAATCTTGCATTTTAAATCCTGTTAGACACAGGTAAGCTGTGGGACAGTAATCCAGGGAAGAGTCGGTGCAAAACCCCCCCAATGTCAAGCATTACAAACCTTTCCGATCCTCTGCGCTTTCCACCACATCTGTATGCCAAGAACCACCTCTTGTTAAGCACCTTAAATTCATGTCCTTCAGGGTGGTGAAAGCCTGTTGTCCTGAACAAGGAGCACCCTTTCTTTATGCATGTGCATAGGGCTTAGCACAAAAGCACACCAGGCCAGCTAGGCTTGCTATTGTCAAACAAATAACTGCTTTGATGCATTTTGTAGAAGGTTTAGAAATAGAACTGGGAGTTGCAGGACAACCACTGGAGATTGGTCTTGGATTGGCATATCCTTTGCTCTTCAGAGCTGCTCACAGAGGGACCTGACTGAATGGGGATGAATGTGAAAATGCTCAGTCTGCCAGAGGGACTTCTGAGGTTTCCAGTGGCTGAGGGAAGAAGGAAAAAAGCAGTAGGTGTAATGTCAATTTGACAATAGAAAAAAATTATAAAATAATCACCTTAGGTGAGATATAGATAAATGCCTTGTGCCATTGGAAGGTACGATAGAAAAGATTAATGAAATTGATGTTTGTTGTCTGAGTTTCTTTTGCATCAGCAATTCTCCTTGTGCCAGTTGCCATATATTTTCCTTGATACAATCAGGAGAAAAACAGCTAATCTGACATGACAAACTCATTGTATCAGAAGTCAACTCTGCTTTAAAACGTGTGTCATATGACTAAACACCCTACTCCTGGTACAATGCATCCCACAGTAAAATTGGATGAAGCTCATCCTCAAATGCCCTGCCAAAAATACTCCTAACAAAGGGCAACAAGAAAACATAATTCAAATGAGGGACATCTGTTCTCAAATGTTTGCAGATAATGACTGGATCAAGTGTCTGCATAAAGGATAATTATTTTCTGCAGATGGTTTGATCTGGTATTTTAGACATTGTAAAAAATCCTCATCCCAGCCACTCAGTAAAGTATGTGGGGGTTTTCTGCAAGAGACCTTTTTGCTGTTCTCTGCTACATATTCTAAATGCAAAGATAACTAATATAAACAATTAAAAGATAAAATGCAGGTGTTAAATAAAAATTCTCCATTTGAACACAGACAACATACATTTTCAGCTTCTGGTCTTCCACTTCTTCTATCACACTGCTGGATACCCAAATAATTCTCAGGGTGAACTTTTGTTACAGGAGAATGGCAAAAGAAAGCAGTAACGTGTTGTGCAAAGGGATCCCCAGCAGATTTCAGAGGGGAGGTCAGTTCCAGAAACGGCAACGCAATATAGTTTTTAAGACAAAATAATTCTACCACCTTTCCTCAAGACAGAGGGATACAAAACAACCACAAGCAAGACACGTTGTTATTAAATCACCCCTGTGACACCCCCCTTGCAACACATGACTGACCCTGGGATAACGCTTCTCTGTTGTACTGTTGTCAGAGTCAGTGTGATGGCTGGAGAGGAGCTCACCCCCCCTGACGGAGCGGGACCACGGCTCGGGGGTGCCTGTGGGATGTGGGGCCATGGGAACCCCCACAGCCACAGCAGCACAGGCCTGGGCCCCCGGCACAGCGGGGTGGAGGAAGCAGGGAGGAGGAGGAGGATGAGGATGGCTCAAACAGCCTCTGAAAGACAGTCCTTGGCTCACGAAGCTGGTGACCACAGGGAGCCCAGTGAAGTAACCATCGCTCTCCCGTAACACAAACAGCTTTTAATTAATACACACGCTCAAAGCATGTGATGACCCCCAGCAGATCTGCCTCTGTAAACGTCTCCCCCACCTAAGCAGGTGCTGCTGCTGGGGGGGAATGGGCGAAGAGAACATTCCCTCTGACAGCCTGCGGAAACGCTGCGTCTCGGTGATTTTGCGTGGAAAGGATTTCTCCTCTTTAAAACAGTTTGGATCATTTATACCCCAAAGAGGTGCGGTGTCGGGCTGTCTGTGGGCACGTACCGTCCCTGGGGTTGTGGAGCTAGTAGTTGGTTTGTTACTTTTGCAATCAGTGGAACTGGGAAAGGAAGGATTTTGAATCAAAGGGGAAATTCTGGAGCACAAGGTGCAGCCAGTAGCGGCGAAGCGGAGGCAGGTGAGGGAGGCAGCCAGTCCGTGTCCCAGTGCCCGAGGCTCGGGGACTCTCCCAGGGCGCTGGGTGAGCGGAACGGCCGTCTTTGTGCAGGACCGGCTGGGATCAACGCCCGGCTCCTGCGGGAGCTCCGGCCGTTCATCACGCTCCCGAATTAACGCGGTTTGCCTTGTGTGCAGGGCGGCGGAACCACCGCGGCACAGGCAGGGCCGAAGCGCTGAGGCCCGGG